AATTGGTGCCCTCTAAAGTGTGACACCTAGGCAAGTGACAAGTCCACCTCACATTGCATCCGTTGTTTGACCACACACCACTAGTATGCATTTTTATTGAAACAAACTACACGATTCGGAGCTCTTGTCAAACGACCGCCGAAACTTCTACGGGCCTATCTACACGTCAAGGAATACAGCTAAAGAACAGCCTCTCGTTGCCTACATTAGAGCCGCAGCAGCCGCTGCAAGAGCTGCAAATCCAACAAGAGAAGCATCCGCACCAATTCGACCACCCTGAGCCACGGGCACGGAAGCAGTCGTGCCTACAGCTCCCGCTGGGCGGGATGTAGGTCCTGAAGGAGTAGGCTGCTGGCCTTGGGATGTGAGGTGCGCAAGGCTCGAGCCGCCCTCTGTCTTGTTGGGGGCGTATCCAGACGGGGTAGCCGTTCTGTTGCCGGAGATGGCGGCAGATGAAATGCGGGCGCTAATTATCCCATTAGTGTTTGTCTTTTTCAACGCCTGGTTAACCCAGCATACCTTGGCAGAGACCGGGTGTGCGTCAGAGTGCAAGGACAGTCGGTAATCGTCAAGATAGTCGCCTGGAAACCCATTAGCTTCGACGGAACTGAAGTCGATACGCGAGTTTTTCTTACCTTGGACACAACATATGTCTTGGAACCTTGCGTGAGCGTCGTCGAGCCGGGGCAGTAGGTGGTATAAGAGTTGACCACCTCGGTGACGGTGGTGATGCCACCCGCAGCAGCGGTGCTTGTGCCCTTCGTCTTATCCGTGGTAGCGATACCAGACTGAGAAGCTGCGGTAGAGTTGCCGCTGCCAGAACCAGACCCCTTTTTGATGAGAGTAAAGTCGTCGCCGCTGCTTCCGTCGCTCCCCTTGACAAACGACCACGTCAGCACCGTCTCGTTGTGAATGGTCAGCTTGCTGAACCCGTAATGTAACTGGTCCAGCACGCAGGTAATGTTCAGCGGAGACTGGCCCTTTTCAAGAGTCATGTGACTCTCAATGTTGCCAGCCATGCCGTTGATGATGTGAGTGATGGATTTGCCAGGGTTGGTGCGGAACGTATTGTTGTTGATAATGGCGTCCTTGTCGATGGTGCCGTTGTTCCCGAGGGGAAACGTTCGCTCATACCAGTGAATGTGACTTGGGGGGAAGATTAAAATCAGCCGTCATTCACACGATTCGCGGTTCCAATGGTTTGAACCCACCCAGACAAGTACGCATCAACACCGTACTTCAAGAACAAGCCCTCGAACGCATCCCGCATGTTCTTCTGGTAATCTGACACCTGCGAACTGTACATGGGTCGATGGCTCATGGCGATGACCCACGGTGTCTTTTTCCTGTCGACACTGGCAAGATCCTTCTCCAGCCAGCGGTATTGCTCGTACGACTCCTTGGTGTAGATGCTCCCGTCGACAGCGCCAAACGGACCGCTGTCGGTGATGAAGGTCTCGTTCTTCTTGGGCTTGGACTCACCACCCTTGACGTCTCGAGCAAACGGCCACTCGGGGCTGTAGGGATAGTCCGTCTCGCCATTGAAGGAGATGAAGTGGGCCAAGCCGTAGTCGAACGAGTACCAGAAGTTGGTTACGCCCCCGGATTCTTGGCCGGGCATGCGGAAGCGGTGCTGATAGGCAGTGTAGTTCCTTTTTCCTCACACGGTTAGCCCCTTTGCAAACTGCCCGGGGTCGAACCCCTTAAATGCCAAGCTTGCTTACCGCTGTGACGGGGGACAGCTGTAGTACGTCAACTTGTTCGACTCGGGCGACGTGCTGTTGGTCCTGTTCTGGTTCAGATACGCAGCCAGCGGCTGATCCGGCCCATCGAATTCCGCACAGGCAGCTTCGTGGTTTCCCGGCAGAACCATGTACGGCACCTTGATGGAAATGCTATTGATCCACTGCTGCCAGAGATCCCAATTCGACTCGTACATGACGCTAATATCGCCGCCCCAGGGACCGCCCTGGTTGGGAATCTCGCCCGCCGGAAGGGGAGTCTCGTATTCTGGCGGAACGCCGCCGGGGAGCTCGCTGCTGGTGCCGTTGTAGCACTCTGGCCAGTCGCCTCCGCAGGGCAGGATGCCGCTGTACCAGTTGTCTGCGTAGGAGATGTCGCCGCCGTGCCAGGCAAAGGCGACTCCCTCGTCGACGGCCTTGTTGAGCTCCCTGAAGGTGCCGCCGGCATTGGTGTACCCCATGTCGTTGAGGACGGCGACAGTAAAGGCCCCTTTGTTTCCGGCATCGCGGGCAGTCTTGAAGCTCAAAACATCAGACGCAGTGGTGCCGTTGGCAGCAGGGATCTTGTAGTAGTAGGTTGTGTCGGGCTTGAGGCCGCGAATCTGGACGTCGTGATAGAACTGGCTGCATTGGGTGACGGGCAGCTGAGAGCATGGCGGAGTGCGGTCATACCTGTACGTGTAAGCGTAGACGAAAAAAGTCACGACACACGGGAGATGACATGGTTCGACGACTCGGGAGAGAACCTACGAGTGGCTTGACCCAGTAGCAACGTTGGTCAAGGAGCCGGCACTCGTTCCCCATGCCACGGAAGGGGAGGCGCCGAGACCAAAGGGAGTCTGGTAATGAATGTTGACGCCGTTTCCAGCATAGGAAAGAGAAATGACATTGACGCTGTTGCTGGGATTCTCCTTGGCAGGCTTCACAGCAGGCGGCTCGACCAGACGAGGAAATCCCTTGCCGTTCCCCTTGACGGTGTTGTCGACCCAATCTCCAACGGGGACGTCGGGGCCGGTATACGGGTACGTCTCGTCCGACGTAGGCTTGGACTGAGCAGAAGAAGCCAGGACTGCGCCGGCAATGACGGCGGCGGTGATCTTCATGGTGTCTTTTGCGTCAGCTGCGTGCAGTCTCACTTGTCAAAAGGACCAGAGTTCGGGGAGACAAAAGACGAGGGAGCCAACTTGGACAGGCTTACACCCGGGCCAGTCTTTCTTATACCGGCTGGAAAGATGCAAGACGGATATTCAACCAACAACGGCCCAGCACGATCAATCACACCAGGGATGATGGCACCATGCAGCGGAGACCGGTAACGTCGACGGAGAGACTAGCGATTCATCACGGTCCCGGATTTGGCAACGCGTCGAATTTCCTGCATGTGCGCGAAAATGTCCAGTTGTCATGCGTAGTTGCTGCATTGCCATAGGCTGGCGGCGTGATTTGACATGTCCGGGGATGTATGTATGCCTTGCATGGCACTCTACTGCATATTACGGCTAACACTTGAACCTTTTGCAATTTGGTCCAGTTGAGTCCCACGAGGCCAGTTATCACAGCAGTATGAGGACTGACATTGTGCCAATTTTGCCTCCATCTTTCTCTTCTTCTCCGTCCCTCTCTGTCTGCCAATGGAGTTGACTTGGCTGCACTCGGGATTTTCACGATGACGATGCCATCAACACAACAAAGTGCGGCTCAACACCATCTAGCGAATGAAGTTTTCAGATTTGGGCATGACGTGTGAAAATATATATATGCTTGCAGTCGGGGACCCAAAGATGCAAGCCAAAGATTTGGTTTAGCAAGGGTCCCGATGCGCCGCATCCACAAGCGTCCCGTCTTCTTAGCACGTGGGCGTGCCGATATTGCCGGTCGGGCGTGAGGCGGGGAAGGGCCTGTGGTTCTTGGTCGCGGTTTGTATGGACGAGTCTTTGTGCCCTAGTCATGACCATGATCCAACTTCTTGTCCGTTGACCTACATGGGAGAGTTCGCCTTGTGGCTTAGGCAGAGCCGATTTTTCTGCAAAAATGGTTCACGGAGCCTGCAGTGAACAGAGAAAGTAGGCAAAAAGAGACAGGACAACAAGGCAAAGGCAACGGGACAAGTACTAATACGGCCTTGTGCTACATCAAGTTTGCAAATGGCATGGCTTGTGCGAGCAGCATGTAAGACGATTGGCCAGATTTCACTGCCAACAAAAAGCTCATGCGTGCGATCCAGATGCCAAATCAGGCAATAAATAAGTCATCTGCATTTGCATGTCTTACCAAGCGCAATGAACTTGTTAATTTTATTTCGCCCTGCCAAACTGGCCATTGCGTGCCGTGGCAGCTCAATGAAACGCCCCAAACGCTTACCGGGTAACTAGTACATACCTGGGCACCTAGTTCCTCCACCTACCTAGGTAGTAGGTACCGGTAGGCAGGTAAGCAGGTACCTACCTTAGCGCGCCAAGGGGTTTTCTGGTGACTGTCCTCTGGCTATCATCTATCATAAGACAGCTAAACAGAATTTTTACTCAATCCCTTTGAGTGCGCTAAGGTGCCACTTTTGTAACAGACCCACTTTTTCTGCGATACCTAGCAGGTACCAAGGTCGGCCACAAAACCTTCCACACTAAAATCCTCACGCGATGTAGCTCTTTGTAAACTTGGAAACTGTTGGTACTTATACCATCATACTAATTCTTTTTAGTAGGAAAATGTACCTTTTGATTCAAGACTTTTTATTGGTTCACATCCTTGTTCGGTACGCAAGTGGCACCTTAGCGCACTCAAAGGGATACATGAGACTTTTAATAGCTGAATAATTTAGGACTTGTCTTGTGATAGTTCTGCTGTCACCAGAACGAAGGGCCGCGCGCGCAGGTAGGTACCTACCTAGGTAGGTATGCAGCGCCGCACCTTCCGTCCCGCCTCGAATTAGCTCCCGTCAACTCCGCCCTTGCCACCCAAAGCTACTCGGGGTCCAGGTAGCTTGCTTGAGCTCCAGGAGCTTGAGCTCGGACTTGGGCTCAAGCTTGCCCGCAACTCCGCCACTTATTGCCACCTCGCCGCGCATCATCAATGACTAGTGGCTCAAATGGTCTTCTGAACCTCCTTTCAAGTCCCCTGCCGAACTGGTTTTCCCGCCTCCATATCCGAGTATTCCATCATCATGTCTGCCGCCGTCATCGGCTCAACCGGCCTCGTCGGCTCTCACATCCTGTCCAACCTCCTAGCCGGCGACATCTACAAGCCCGTCCACACAATCACCCGTCGCGCCCCCAAGCCCTCCTCGCCGAACCTCAACTCCATCGTCGACGCCGACACTACAAAATGGGCCGCCGCGCTGACCGGCCTCTCGCCCGTCCCGGCCGCCGTCTTCTCCGCTCTGGGGCCCGCC